AGTAAATAAACAATATTCTCACAGAGAATTGAAATATGATATTCACTATAAAACTGAAGCACCATTTTTCATCCTAAGAAAAAAATTTTTATGCTATTATTGAATTTGTTTCGTAGGATGAAAAATGGTGCTTCAGTTTTATAGTGAATATCATATTTCAATTCTCTGTGAGAATATTGTTTATTTACTGCTAATTCACTTATTTGTAACACAGACATTTGTATTTCTCTCGATAAATTAATCATACAGACAGGTCTATAGTCATGATTCAACGGAAATATAATGATTTTAAAGCTTTTTTTAATTACTATAATAAATATGAATTAAAGCACATTATAAATACTACTATTTATTATTTCCTTAGATTTTTGCATCTATTAGTCTCAGTATTATACGATTGCAATATGTTGGTCCACAATTTCAAGCATTTTTTCAAGCATTGGCAGCTGCTAATAATATTCAACAAACAATCGATGAAGTAAAGTTGTTTTCCTATAATAAAAGATAAACAAATGATCTTAATGTTTCTTTTGTTTAGTTACCTAGTAAAGTAAATGATTATTCAATGAATGAATTGAAAGAAAAAAATGATCTTACTGGCGATATTCAATTTTCAAATGTTCATTTTTCTTATCCAACACGATTGAATGTATCCATTCTAAATGATCTATCATTTGAAGTCAAATCTGGTCAAACAATTGCTCTTGTTGGTTCTTCAGGCTCAGGAAAATCGACGTGTTTACAATTGTTACAAAGATTTTATGAACCAAATTCTGGTAAAATATATCTTGATGGAAAATCAATTCATGAATATAATTTGAAATGGTTACGACAACATGTTGGTGTTGTTAGCCAAGAACCAGTTTTATTTCATCGAACAATTCGAGAAAACATTTTATTGGGATGCCATACAGCTACGGAAGAAGAAATACATACAGCGGCAAAAATGGCCAATGCACATGCATTTATTATGAATTTACCTAATGTATATGAGCTAGTTGATCTGTTTTAATTTATTATTCTGTATATTTTTAATAGAAATACGAAACTATAGTTGGTGAACGCGGCACAGCATTATCTGGTGGACAAAAACAAAGAATTGGTAATTAAAACATATAAATTTCTAAGTCGATTCAAATTGATCGGTATATTTTAACTTAGCTATTGCTCGAGCACTTATAGGAAATCCAAAAATTTTACTTCTTGATGAAGGTTAGGTTTTTTTTGACTTGCTCTTATTAATTGTACTCAATTATGTTTTCCTTTCAAACTATAGCTACCAGTGCACTTGATAATGAAAGTGAAGCCGTCGTTCAAGATGCTTTAGATCATGCTGCTCAAGGTATTTTATTACCAATTATACTTTTCTTTACTGTCATGCAGATTGTTTCCTATTTGATCAATAGGTCGAACAACAATAGTTATTGCACATCGTTTGTCAACAATTCGTAATGCTAATAAAATAATCGTCTTGAATAAAGGACACGTTATTGAAGAAGGTGATCATAATTCATTAATGAATATTCATGGCATCTATTTCAATCTTGTTCAACAACAAACATTACGTCAGACTGAAGAAGAACAATTAAGATTTGAAGAACTAGAAGCTACAAAACTAATTCTCGCAGAACAATTCAATTCAGATGATTTGGATAGAAGGGAAAATCGAAGCTCAACTATAACTAGTGTAACTCCGTCGGTGTTGGTTCGTTTGTATAGTAGAAACAGTTCAATAGATAATAATGACGATAAACATTCAAAAGTTAAATCTAATCAAACATTAGCGATATTGCGAGCAAATAAGCCAGAATGGTTATTGATTGTAATTGGATGTATAGCAGCTATGATCAATGGTGTATTAGATCCATTGTCTGTCTTTATTGAAGCGAAAATAATTACGGTAATAATTTGAAAACTGGAAGAAAAAAAATTGAATTTTCATCAGATTAAAGTTGATGTCATTCTTTTTTTTACTAGATCTTTCAACAATGTGATCAAGATACTCAATATCAAGAAGTTATCCGATGTATATTGAGTATTATTGGTTTAGGTATTGTTGGTTTAATATTTCAATCAATTCAAGTTTGTTTGTCGTCGTGAATTAATGTTTTATTTTAAAACAAAAATATTTTCTTTAGGGTATAATGTTTGCTTATTCTGGTGGGAATCTTACTCAACGACTTCGTTCAAAAGCTTTTAGTGCTTTACTTCGACAGGAAATCGCTTATTTTGATGACACTAGACATAGTACAGGTGTATTATGTGCACGTTTGGCAACAGAAGCAGGAGCTGTTCAAGGTGCAAGCGGAGTTCGTTTTGGTTTTATTCTTCAAAATCTAGTGACAATGGGCACTGGTATTATTATTGGGTTTATCTTTTCTTGGCAATTAACACTCCTCATCTGTGCTTTCTTTCCATTAATATTTTTTGGAACGTATGCCCACATTCGTTTAACAGCTCGATTTGAAAATCAAAACAAAGTGTATCTAGAAGAAACTGGAAAGGTTTGTGAATATTTTATTTAATTGCATAAATTCTGAATCAAAGAAAGTCTATCAGATTTGAAATATCATTGTTTATATATGTTGTAAGCACATGTATATAATCTTTTTGTTATTTAATTTCTTGACTTCATCTGAACATTTTTATTTTTAACATTCTCTCATAGATCATTGTGGAAACTATTCAAAATGTTCGAACAGTAACTCAATTAACAAAAGAAGATTATTTTTATGATGAATATTCACAATTATTGAATGTTATCTATCGGTATTTGTTTACTTGCTTGATAATAGAAGATTATTTTTTCTTGAACATTTCACATAGATCATCACTGACACGAATACAACTTTTTGGTGTTATATGTTCAATATCATCAGCGACATTAATCTTTGCTATTGCATCTCTTGTATCACTTGGTAGTACTCTTGTAGACGAAAATGCCATCACATTCGAATCCGTATACATGTAAACCATATAAAAGAATTCTGATTATAAAATCAGTCGAATTCAAATTTATAGGACGTTTGTCTGTGTAGCAATTACTACTTATCTTGCTGGTCGAACTCTCACACTGCAAGTTATACAATCATTCCAAGAAATTAAAAAAGTTTCTTGTTTTTAGAGCACCAGATTATGGACAAGCATTGAAAGCTGCTGAGAATATTTTTAATCTCATAGAACGAAAACCATTAATTGATAATAAATCATGCAACGGTGAAGAAATTGTGAGTTAATTTTGAAAAAATCTTTTTTGTCTATAAGAATTCATTCTTTCAGTCTGATTTGAATGGACAAATTGAATTTAAAGATGTTTATTTCGTATATAAAAATCGTCCTGAATCAATTATACAGAAAAAATTTAATCTTTGTATTCAACCTGGTCTGTAATCATCCGATGTTTTTTTTTTGTAATTTGTTTAATATCATTTGTTTCTTTTCTCCTAGGTAAAAAAATTGCTCTTGTTGGTGTGTATGATGAATCAATTCATTATTATTATTATATGCTTTTTATTCTCTGTAGGTACATCAGGCTCTGGAAAATCAACAACTATTCAATTAATTGAACGATTTTATGATCCAAATGTTGGTCAAGTGGTAAAGATGCATTTCCTTTTGCTTTATTGTATTCATCTCTATATTTTAGTTACTTGATTCAAAAGATCTTCGAAGTCTTAATCTTCGATGGTATCGATCACAAAGTATTCCTTTCAAATTTGCCTTTTCTATATCTATTCATCAAATGAATTTTTATACAATTAGTTGGTATTGTTTCTCAAGAACCAATTCTATTTGATTTAACAATTCGGGAAAATATTTCTTACGGTGACAATGATCGAGAAGATATTCCATTAGATGAAATTATTCAAGTAGCTAAAAATGCAAACATTCACGATTTTATTCAATCTCTTCCAC